GATAGCCATGTGATGTGAGTATCAGTCACATAGAAGCAGTGCTTAAAAACCTGAATTTTGCCTGAAACTCTCAGACTGAAGAAGTCTCTTGGAGGAGAGACGAAACGTTTCATTAGAGAAGAACCCGTCCAGAACACCTATACATTTTTTTTTCTTTTTGATTTTTTACCTGGATTACTGAGATGCATCAGGACATTAATTAGGTGTCAACGATAGCCATGTGATGTGAGTATCAGTCACATAGAAGCAGTGCTTAAAAACCTGAATTTTGCCTGAAACTCTCAGACTGAAGAAGTCTCTTGGAGGAGAGACGAAACGTTTCATTAGAGAAGAACCCGTCCAGAAGACCTATACATTTTTTTTTCTTTTTGATTTTTTACCTGGATTACTGAGATGCATCAGGACAAGGTACAGATAAGATTTTTAGACCTAAAAAGACTAAATATTTAATGAGATCGTGGTAAGAAGTCCCAAACGTAAAGGATGAGCTTTAAAGTGCCTGTGACGTGTGTATTCTTCAAATACAAAAAGTCAAAGAAAACATCTTTATATTTAAGAAACCTGACATAATACACCTGATTTGGCCCATTTTGTCTCATAACTAGTATATTTTCTCTTGAACTTGGCTCAGCAAAAGTGAAACAGGAAGTGACATCAAAGAGGAACTCTTTAAGAAAAGGAACTCTGGTTTTTGTTTTTTGAGATGTTATTTAAACTCCTAACTCCTCTTCATCTGTCCCTGTTAGTGACTCAAAATAATATAAGGGAACATCAGATTCTTCTCTACTGTCTGTGTTGTTAGCCATTTTAATAACACTCTATTCACATGCAGACATTCCCCTTTGACATCACTTCCTGTTGTTTTACATGCAAATATCTCAACAACAGTTCATCTCAGTGGCGTGAAAATTGTTTTCTACATTGCTATTAATGTTGTCTTTCCAAAAATGCATTCATATTTATTAAAGATTTGATATCAGAGTCAGGTTAAAGCCTCTATCAGAATTAAAAATGTATCTATTTTTGAGTAAAACCTATTCTAATGCTCTTATTTTGTAGGAGACAAACTGACGTCCACAAGCCGACAGCACTGTTCACATCAGAGGTAAACTGTTTTCTTTAACGAGACCCTCAGCTGTCTGCACACAGGAAATGGAGCAGGAAGCAGTGGAGCTGAACCAGGACTCTATCGCTTGTTCCATCTGTCTGGACCTCCTAAAGGAACCGACGACGATCCCCTGTGGACACAGCTACTGTTGGAGCTGCATCAACACCTACTGGGATGAAGAGGACCGGGAGACGTCTCACAGCTGTCCTCAGTGTGGGCAGAGCTTTAGAGGAAGGCCTGACTTGAAGAAAAACGTCACGTTAGCAGCTTTAGTGGAGGAGCTGAGGAGGGATGGACTCCAGGGAGCAGCTGATCTGTGCTATGCTGGAGCTGAAGATGTGTCCTGTGACGTCTGCTCTGACAGGAAACTGAAAGCTGTCAAGTCCTGTCTGAACTGTTTGGCCTCTTATTGTGAAAAACACCTCCAGCTTCACTTTGAAACTGCTGCTTTTGAGAAACACCAGCTGGTGGAGCCCTCCAAGAAGCTCCAGGAGAACATCTGTCCTCGTCACGAT